TTTTTTTTTTTTAAGTTACTTTTAATGCTTTTTTGTGTGTGTGTGCTTTGTCTTTAGTTTTGGTTTAGGACAGTAATGAATAAAATGATTAACTTCCCATTATACTATTAAGATTATTAGATGGGGATAGTCTGTGTTGCCTTTTATTGGTGATTAATTGTTACTTTTGATAAAATAATTGCTGCTATATGTGTCATTTATATGTGCTTAATAACTATCAACCAGTATATTTTAGAGAAAAGAAATTTTAAAAACCAACTTAATAGGTGTGGCTATTAGTTGGCAAAAGGTGGAAAAATGAAATATTGGGTTTCTCGATTTAACAGTTTTATTGACTAAGGTATTATTTGAAATACTTTTGCCTTTGATTAATTTGTATTTTACTTTTTTTTTCAGAGCTTCACCTCAAATCAGGCGTCCCAATCGAGAAGTAAGACCTCTGAGGAAAGAAATGGCAGGAGTAGGAGCCCGGGGACCTGTAGGCCGAGCACATCCTATATCAAAGAGTGAAAAACCACCTACAAGTAGGGACAAGGATAATAGAGCAAGAGGGAGAGATGACAAGGCAAGGCCATCTCTTTGTAATTTACTCACTTGAAGCCCATGACTTTTGGTGGATATTATTTTTGTTGGCTTTTCAAGGTATCCTGGTTTTGACATGGAAAAGTTGAAAAAAAAAAAAAGTCTGATTCAAAACGTAAGCAGTCTTTGTATTTTAAAGGCCATGCTGAAGTGCAAATCATCTCAGAGGTATAGTAAATATATATATACACACACAAGTGTAAAAATATTTAGTAAAATAGACCCTTTGTAGCAGTGTTCAAAATAGTTTTGAAATTTNGTGTAAAAATATTTAGTAAAATAGACCCTTTGTAGCAGTGTTCAAAATAGTTTTGAAATTTAAAAAAAAAATATTTTAACAAGTATTCTGACTTAAAATAAATAATAAATGAAAACATAATTGTAGGAGAAAGACTGATAAGAGCATAGATATATACACAGAATAAGATGGAGGGATATGATTTACTACTGCTAAAAATAAAAAATATCTTTGATTTATCTGTAAATTATAGAGTAGAAGATTTTTTTTTCCTTAATGAGAAAATTTTCCTTGGTGAGAGTTGATTGTGCACATTTACTTTTCTGGGAAATTGATTGGTGAATAGTACTGGGTGGAAATTCTGTATTGCCCTTAACGTGAGTTGATGATAATATTGCAGAGTATGGAGCTAGCCAGGATGATCTGATGCACCTCTTAGTCTTAATTGTAGTGAAAAAACAAAACAATGTAGTGATACATTTCCCATTTCTGTTGTGATGTCATAAATGAATGATGATGTAATTGAATTGCCACAAAGAAGTTTTGTTTTTCTAGTTAGGAATTCAGGATTTGTCATCACATTCATGCCATGATATATAATGAAGATAAAACTTAACTGATAACAAGTGGTTATCTTTCAATATTGTATACTATAATTTTAATATTTTTACTACATGTAATTTTGATCAGTATGTAAGGACTCTAGACCATGCTAGAATAAAACTGGTGTTTTCTGAGTATTAATG